TCCCAGAAGTTTTTTTTTTTTTTAAATATATTTTATTGACTTTTCACAGAGAGGAAGGGAGAGTGATAGAGAGCCAGAAACATCAATGAGAGAGAAACATTGATCAGCTGCCTCCTGCACGCCCCCTGCTGGGGACGCGCCCGCAACCAAGGCACATGCCCCTGACCAGAACTGAACCTGGGATCCTTCAGTCTTCAGGCCGATGCTCTATCCACTGAGTCAAACCAGTCAGGGCTCCCAGAAGTTTTTAAAAATATATATTTAAATATATGTTCTTTGTTTCAGGTAGAGTAACTCCCTTGAGTATTTCCTGCAATGTAGGTTTTTCTGGTGATAAAATCCCTCAGCTTCTCTATGTCTGGGGTCGTGTTTATTTCTCTCCTTCATATTTAAAGGATTATTTTGCTGGATATATTATTCATGGCTGGTAATTTCTCTCTTTCAGACATTTTAATATTTAGTTCTACTCTCTTTTGGCTTGTAGAGTTTCTGCTGAAAAGTCAGATGGAGAGGGATAGAGAGTTAGAAACATCGATGAGAGAGAAACATCGATCAGCTGCCTCCTGCACACCTCCTACTGGGGATGTGCCCGAAACCAAGGTACATGCCCTTGACCGGAATCGAACCTGGGACCTTTCAGTCCGCAGGCCGAGCTCTATCTACTGAGCCATACCGGTTAGGGCTCATTAACTTATTTTTTATTTGTTTAAATCTTTATTGTTGAGAGTATTACAGATGTCCCCCTTTTACCTCCCCATTGCCCCCCTCTACTCTGTTCTTGCCCCATCCCAGTCCTTCACCATCCTATTGCCTGTGTCCACAGGTAATGCATGTATGCATATAAGACCTTTGGTTAATCTCTTCCCATCCCCGCCCATCCCCCTTCTCTTTGAGATTAATCAATCTGTTCCATGCCTCTTGATTCTATTTTATTCATCTGTTTATTTTGTTCATTAGATTTCTTGTTCATTTATTTTTATTTTTTGATTCAATTATTGGTAGATATGTATTCATTACCATTTTATTGTTAATATTTTTCTTCTTCTTTTCTTTTTCTTAAAGAATACCCTTCAACGTTTCATATAATATTGGTTTGGTTGTGATGAACTCCTTTAGCTTTTTTTTTGTCTGTGAAGATCTTTATTGGACCTTCAATTCTAAATGATAACTTTGCTGGGTAGAGTAATCTTGGTGGTAGGTCATTGCTATTCATCGCTTTGAATATTTCTTGCCATTCCCTTCTGGCCTGCAAAGTTTCTGTTGAGAAATCAGCTGACAGTCGTATGGGCACTTTCTTATAGGTAACTAACTACTTTTCTCTTGCTGCTTTTAAGATTCTCTCTTTGTCTTTAGCCCTTGGCATTTTAATTATGATGTGTCTTGGTGTGGGCCTCTTTGGGTCCTCTTGTTTAGGATTCATTGTGCTTTCTGAACTTTAAGTCTGTTTCTTTCACCAGGTAGGGGACGTTTTCTGTCATTATTTCTTTTCTTTTTTTTTTTTTAAATATTTTATTGATTTTTTACAGAGAGGAAGGGAGAGAGATAGAGAGAGTTAGAAACATCGATGAGAGAGAAACATCGATCAGCTGCCTCCTGCACATCTCCTACTGGGGATGTGCCCGCAACCCAGGTACATGCCCTTGACCGGAATCGAACCTGGGCCCTTTCAGTCTGCAGGCCGACGCTCTATCCACTGAGCCAAACCGGTTTCAGCTGTCATTATTTCTTCAAATAGGTTTTCAACATCTTGCTCTCTCTCTTTTCCTTCTGGCACTCCCATAATGCGAATGTTGGTACACTTGAAGTTGTCTTCTGGAATTGATAAAGTGGCCTTGTGTAGTAGGTGTCCTGTAGGGTGCAGTGGCTCAGCCTCCTTAGTCACCTGAGCTGGGCACTCTAGGTGTGTTCCTGTGTGAGCTGTGTTCACAGTCTTGAAGTTGAGCCTTGATTGCTGTTGGCAAGTGTCCCTGAGGGGAATTGACCCCCAGACCAATTGGTTGTGAGGACCAACTGAGTCTACAGTGGAAGAGCTGCTGTGCAGGAGACACCCTGTGGAGCAGGACTTGCTTCAGTTGGGCTTTGGTGCTCACTGAGTCTGCCTATTGAGTGTATCACTGTGGATGTGTAGAGTTGTAATCTGGTATGGTCTGAAGCTGTCCACCAGGTACACTGGCTCTGGGGCCTCCTGGGAGGTGCAAAGTCAGCCACTGCCTGGGGCTACCCAGTAGGAGCTGCAGAGAGATCTGCAGATGACTGGTACTTGTATTGGGCTTGTGAGGCCCAGCTATGAAGCAAGGCAGGCTGGTGCCAGTGCTGGGTCTTGGGTCTTTTATTGATAGGTTTGGGGCTTGTTGACTCCAGCTGCTGCTTGTTTAAGAGATTTTAGCAAAGTCTGAAGCCTGAGCTAGGACAGGCCATTCATATGGAAAAGCAGCTGCAAACTGCGTGGGTGGGGCTGAAAATTGGATGGGGTGGGGTCTCAGGGAGTCACTAAGATGGAGCAAACAGTGTACACCCGGCTGATGGAGACTCAAATATGGCTTCCAGTCAGCTCTACAACTGGGGAGGTCCCAGCATAGGAACAGTGACCCCTGTGAGCACCCCTGTCTTGGAGAAAGCTGCTCCTGAGTTCCTGCCCCATTGCCAGACAGTCCAGTTCCTCCCCTTATGTCCCTGAATTCCCCCAAAGCCGCTGCCGGGCTCTGGAGCTCAGAGGAAGCAGAGCATGTAAGTTCATATTTGGGCCCTTTAAGAGGAGCACCTGGGACTCCAGCAACCTCTGTGTCACTCAGCCACAATCCCTGCTGGTTTTTACAGCCTGAAGTTATGGGGACTTCTCTTCCCAGCTCTGGAACTCTGGGCTGGGGGTATGGTGTGGGGCTGGGGCCCCCTGCTTCTCACAGGATGCCTTGGAGCTATCCCTCCTGATTAAAAAAACGCCATACATGGGTGCCAGACCAGCTCATTCTGTACCTCCACCCCTTCTATCAGTCTGAAAGCACTTTCTTCTTCTCTAATTGTAGGACTTCCATTCATCCAGGTTTCAGGCAGTTCTGAATCATGGTTGTTCTGTATTTTAGTTGTAAATTTTTAAATTTTTTAAATTTATTTCAGAGAGGAAGGGAGAGGGAGATAGAAACATCAATGATGAGAGAGAATCATTGATCATCTGCCTTCTGCACATCCCCCACTGGGGACTGAGCCCACAACCCAACCCAGGCATGAGCCCTTGACCAGCATTGAACTTGGGACCCTTCAGTTGGCAGGTTGACAATACCCATTGAGCCAAACTGGCTAGGGCTAATTGTAATTTTGATGTGGTTGTGGTAGATGGTGAGTACCAGCATTTACCTATGCTGCCATCTTGGTTCCCCTTATTTATTTATTATTTAGGCCAGCCTCAAAGGCAGCATACATAAACGTCACAGAGAAGATAAAATCATAAACTGTGAAAACTCAGCTAAAAGGACCTGATACCTGCGGGGAGGGAATGCAGAGGAGAGTAGAAAATTATTACTGAAAAAGGTTGGCTTAGAAAAACCACTGGAAATGAACACAGGACTCATCTGAGCTTGCTGGCAGTCAAGCCAAAAAAAGGACCCCTACATTGGCCATTCACTAGGGTGAAACTCAGGAGAAAGACCTTCCTGAAGCCCCAGGGGAGAGGCACTAGGAGGTAGGAGATAAAACGGATCACTCAGGTGGGGGATGTGGAGGAGGGAGGGGTTCTGAAGGCCAGGCCAGGGCTGTGGCAATGCTGACATTTCAGGAAAGGCTCATGCTTTCCTGAGGAGAGGGACTTTCCTTGGCTGCACAAGGAGGTGGGAGAGGGAAGGGCAAGCGTGGTCCATTCACACCATTCTTTTTACAGGGGAACAGGATAGAAGGTGGTGTGCCAACCCCTGGCTCGGACCGTCTCTTCTACCATGAGGTGGAGTCGCCATCTGCCCCGGGCCTTTTGGGGGCCTGGCCTGGCAAGAGCACCCCAGCCAGCAGGTAAGTGGGCAGCAGGGGTTTCTGTTTCTGCCTCTTGCTTCCTTTTGAGTCCAGATGGTGCCTCCAAGAGGGCAGGGATTCAGACCAGGGGTGCCAGTCCCAGCTCGGGGTGCACTAGCTGTCGGCCTTGGTCAAGTCACCTCATCTCTCTCAGCTTTCTTTTTCTCATCCTGACATAGGGGAGTCAGCCTAGGTGAGGGTTCCTGTAGCTAAATAAGTCCAGGAACACTTGTCTGATTTCATTTTGTATTCAACAAATATATATATTTTAGTCCTCACCAATAATATTTTTCCATTGATTTCTATAGAGAGTATAAGGGAGGGAAGGTAGGGAGAGAGAGAGAGAGAGAGAAAGAGAAACATTGACATGAGAGAGACACATCGATTGGTTGCCTCTTGCACGCACCCAACTGGGGCTGGGGAACCTGCAACCGAGGTACGTGCCTTTGACCAGGAATCTAACCCACAACCATCTGATGTGCAGGCTGACACTCTAACCACCGGCTAGGGCCAACAAATATTTTTTGAGTGCCTGCTGTGTGCCAAGTATATAAGTGTGCTAAGTTCTAAGTATATAATTGTGTAAAAAAAACAGATGTGACCCTGCTCTTGTGGTGGGGTGGTGGTGGAAATGAATGTTAATCCAATGGTCACAGGGTAGAATATAAAATTGCATCATAGCTGCTACAGAGGGGTGGTACATGATGTGTAAGAGCAAATAAGGGGGGTTTGAGATAGACATGGGTCTGTGTCTTGGTGGGGAAATATGGGTGGGATCTGGATGCTATTTCTTCCTTCTCTCTTCTCTCTGCAGATGAAAATATCCCTTGGATGATCCACTGGAATTGGGCCCTTAAAGGCGGGTGTCCCCTTGGCCCCCCTAGGTGAGGCCTTGGTGTCATACCTTAGAACAGTGATTCTCAACCTGTGGGTCGCCAACCTGTGGGTCGCGACCCCTTTGGGGGTCAAATGACCCTTTCACAGGGGTCGCCTAAGACCATTGGAAAACACATATATAATTACATATTGTTTTTGTGATTAATCACTATGCTTTAATTATGTTAATTTGTAACAATGAAAATACATCCTGCATATCAGATATTTACATTATGATTCATAACAGTAGCAACATTACAGTTATGAAGTAGCAACGAAAATAATTTTATGGTTGGGGGTCACCACAACGTGAGGAACTGTATTAAAGGGTCGCGGCATTAGGAAGGTTGAGAACCACTGCCTTAGAATATACCTGGGCATAGCCGAGGAGCCTGGGAAGGGTCAGGACTTGGAGAGAGCACCAGGCTTAAGAGGAAGTTGGCTTATATTATTTACAGCACAAGTCACGGTGGTCAGCCAGTGGGTGGATCTGTGGGAGGTGGGTGGAGTCTGGTAGGGACCAGGCTGAATTCCTGAGTTCCAGACAGACAGCTGTGGGGGGCTGGAGGGTGAGGGGTGAGACCTCAGTCTCTGGGAGGAGTGAGAGTCAGAGTCTTAACGTGGGTGTCCAGGTCTGGGCCTGGGTCTCAGGAAGCCAGAAGTTCCTCATTCCAAACAGGCCTGGGCTCCACGCTTGTGCAGGGACTGAGCCCAGCAGCCAAGCCCCAGCTCATCCCTTCTCCTTGCTCCCAGGGCCTTTACCCATCACTATGGAAGCTCAGTGGGCAGTGTTCCCCCGTCAGGGAGGCATGGACCTGTGTTACGGAGCATCTCTGCTGCTGGTAAAGAGATTGGTTCCTTGGCCAGCCTGAGGGGAGG